TTTGTATGCAGACGCAGAGTCCTGCTGGAACACGAAGTGATGTCCCGCAAATAGGGTGCTGGACATGTCTTTGACAAGGCGATACAAAACCGTCTCTTGGTACACTGTAGCACTGGTTTTGACCCCCTTTTCGAAAAAATTAACCTCAGTTAGCCCGTAATAGGACACTCCCAACCAAACCATTACTGATGATGGATGATGTCCATGTTGCACCCTTGGAACTTTATTTTCAGCTTCTTCAGAACTCCTAGCGTACACTGTATAATTCTGTTTATTGTACTTCTCTTCAATATCGAAAAATTTTTCGTCCGTAAAGAGGATATCACGGTGTCGGTTTTTCGCGTACCGCTTAAACAACACCCGCGATCTCTTAAGCCTTATTGCTTTTAGACGAGCATTAAGTAAGTGCCCACTCTTTTTTGTATGCTCGTAGACCAAGTCTTCATTTAAAACCTTTTTTACTGTTTTCCTACTGACACCCATCTGCAAATCCATCAACTTCTGTTTTCGGACAGGATTTCTTACTATCCGCGCCTTGATAGCTTTGATTACTGCTGGTGTTCTTGCGGAGCGTGGCCAGCCAGTTCTTTTCTTGTCCTCAACACTGGAGACTTCAAGGTACCTATCAATAGTACCGTACACAAACCTAAGCGTTATATTCAAATTTTTGAGCAACTTGAAAATGGTACTCGGCGAGTGTCCACAGCGGTGCAACGCAATAACAACTATTCGGTTTACTTTCAATGTCCACTCCATCGTGAAAAATTACGGAAAGTTATTGTTTTTTGTTTTAAAACAATAATCAAACATTCCAAAATAGAATGCAATAATTTTTTTATAAAATCCTGCCCGAAATGTAGAAATAATTTGCTAGTGACAGAACTTTGGGACCAACTACGTACATAAGTTTAGTTTATAAGGAGAAATAAAAATATAATAATACATTTTTATTAAGCAATACTTATTTTTTAATAAAATAGGCGACGAAACGGCTAGAATCTTCTGACATAAAATGACACTGCCGCTCATGTACACTGCCAGAAGCTCCTAATGTACGTTGCCGGCCTTTAAGGAATCATTACGATCTTTTCTTGACGAATTCAAAACATCTTGACGGCTAACTACTCACTAATTCAACTTTTTCCGCATCATCACTTATAATAGCACCATCTCTACGCAAAGCTCCGGTTAAGTCCATGCCTAGGAGTAGGGCTACAGTACAGTTCCTTTGCGACAGTGCTTCGCTAACGGCCTTTAGGGCTTCGGGTTTTCTTAGATATACCTGGAATATTATAACGTGTTTAAAGTGACAGTGTTATATTAAGATTGAATAATTATAATAAAATCGAATTTGTAAAATAAATAAATGAAAAATATTAAAGAAAACTCTTTTCTCAAGCTATTCTATAAGCTACATAATATATGCATCTGTTTTATTTATAATTTTCTTTATGTTCCTGAGAACCTATGAACTCCAAACAATTGTTATTTGAAACCAATAAACCCGGGCTTCCAGGTAACAAATAATTAAATAAAAAACTTTATTTAATTATTCATAAATATTTATTATTATATAGTTCACATATATAAACTATTAATGAATATTATTATAATAATATATATATTTTTATTATATATAATAAACTGAGATATTCAAACCTCAACCAATATCGGAAAGCTCGGTATTAAAACGTCGCCGAGAATTTTAACATCCTTCCTCAATAATTGTGCGGCGTCGAGTAATGCCACATCAGACCTCGCTTCAACAAGACGTTGCACTTTTAATTTCCTAAAATCAGTTTTAATCAGCAGTCTTATTCTGTAACTAATAGTGTTAGTAGAAGAAAATATATTAAATATTGAAATGATAGAAGTCCTTCGTTAGACTGATTCCAGATTATTAAGTAATTTTTGTTATCAATGATTGATGTTATGTGTAAAAAAACTCCTTATTATATTTACAAGAGCTCCTTATTGATCATGAAGATATGTGCCTCAAATGTCGGTGAAACAGAGTGCAGACTTCATATTATCACCTTTGATGATGACGGAAACAAGTCACCAAGGGAGGACTAAACATTATGAGTTAGTGTGGTGTATATTCACTTAATATAAGTGCAAGTGCGGTATCTCGGACGCACTATTAGCCAAAACATTATAGGACCAAGACTATTATGTTTATTATGGAACATAAGATACAGGTATCACTATTTATAAACATAATCCTAGTTTAAGCTATTTACATATATTTATGTCTATATGTACAGGTTAGATTGTAATTCATATAAAGTCGATCTTTTGAACACTTTAGATTAATCTTTAACCAGAAATGGTTTTTTAGACCTGCTAATTAAATACATAAATTATTGTAGGCGTTTTTCTGATATCCGAGGCGGAAATGCATTCGCGCATCTCCAGCTCCCAAAAATAGTAGAGGTACTCTGAATACCAGAATCTCTGCTATTCAGAGACTGGTATAACCAAGGCTGTGGATGTGTAGGTACTGGGAGGCTCTCATTGTAGAGAGGACCTACCTTTCCTCCATACAATCACTAGGTTTCAATATATTTTCAAGAAATTCCACTTTATCTTTATCGTGTGGCGTTGCTTTATTTACTTCTTTGGAAAAATTCACTGTATCTAATAATATTACACCTAAAATATTAATAAAATAATCACTATTAATTTATGTAAAAAAAAAATTTAAATCTTATTAATAATTGTTTTGGCATGTTTTGATTATTTCCACTTATGGACACTAATAATGACATGTGGCTCATGTTGCGGGCTTATAAGAATCCGTATCCGTAAGAGTACAGAATCTAGAAGCCCAAATCTTGACTTGTAATATCCTTATTTATATTGATTTGGGAATACCTTGTCCGCTAGCTATCGTAAGATGTAACCTACTACTTTACTGATACAATAAAAAAATTTAAAAATTGAATTTACTTACTATGTAATAAATCAGCACACATTTCATAATCATCAAAGAAATCACCTCTGTTCATTAATGCTGAAAGATCCTGAATCCTTTGAGTTACAAGTGTACAACAAGAGCCCACAATTTCTATTGTACTTCTTACATCATCTTTGTAACTGAAATTTAAATTTTTACAACATAAATGAGCTACAAACAACCATTTACAGATTTTAAGTTGAGATTGCATTTGTTTCTAGGATACTATTAATTTTATAGTAAAAATGATGTGTGTTAGGCCTCCTGTGCCTGTCAGGTCTTTCAAAAACCTTTTGTCAAAATAGCAATGAGACTCGGCTAGGAATCTCAACCATAAATCCAAATAAGGCTGATACCATACTTGCCAAAAAAACAATGAAATGGACATAGAAGTGAGAGGGCAAGATGAATGTTGCTTATGACATTATATTAATTTACTATAAATTGATTGTTCTGATGTTGTACCTGGCAAGTAAGTTCGCTACTTCTATACATTTACTGACAGATTTGTAGAAGTAGTGCTAACATTTTTTACTATTAAAGTCATATGCCCATTGCCCATATTTATTCTCACTACAGAAAATCAAGCCAAGTTATGTGTCGAGATTAACACACTGACATTCACCACCATTGTGACAAGGCAAGTTGGAATACTAAAGGAATAATAAAATAATCATAAATTACCTCCAGTTATTCTTATCAATAGGTCTGTGGTCTATAATCTCTGTGACATATGGGGATAAAAACTCATACTTCTTAGACAAAACATGATGGTCAACTAGTACAATATTAATTTTACCTTCTTCCACTAACTTTTTTAGATCTATATCATCTCTAAAAAACAGAATAAAATTTATAATATTTTAATTGATAATAAAATCATTATGTTCAACAATTTTTTTTTATTGTTGTGTGGAATAAAAACTATAATATTTATATTTATTATTATTTTCTTGTAATGTTATAATGTCTAGTAAATACCGGATCAAAGAACAGGTATCACTTTCTAATCATAAAACACCTACCTAAAAAGCAAAAAATTCTCTCTCAAGCCATGTCCCTTAAAACAAAATGCAACCTCTGTCTTCAAAGGTAAGTCCTGTCTATCTACATCTAATAAAGATACGAAAATGTCATCTTTGTATGTACTTTCGTTTCTTTTATTTCTTGTACATACTTTACACTTCATTTTTTGGTGCTGCCAATGTAGAAATGTTGCGTAAACAAGGGAACTGACTGCAGAATCGAGATCACAACTCTCGTTACCAAGGACTATGGTGAGATTAACATAATTCCGTGATTTCTTGAAAAACAAAAAAATCTTTTTATAACTATTTGCATGTTATGTTAATAGTAGTAGTAGGGATCGTAGTATTGAGCATTTATTTACCATTAACACAATTATATTCTATTATTATTATATCATGAATAATAGATACAATATTTAACAAAGAGAAGACCAGAAGAAGGTTTTTATTTATATCACAAATTTGTATAACTACTGAAACACTAATGTATGAAATATAAACCATACTTACCAGAACATTTAAAGTATAATTAAGGTAATCCTCCATTGTTTATTATTAAGACACAATAGCAGAAATTGGAATTTCTGATTTTAATGTTTACAAACTTTCATATTATCATCAATCATGGCCAATAATAATTGGTCAATGGTCATTGACTAGAGTTTTCTTTACACTTCATTTTTGTTTCAAATTTCCACTTAAAGACTACTGGCATAAAATGACTAAACAATTGACATAAAACTATATTTATTGCAAAAATTAAAAAATGAAACTTCTAGATACATATTATTAACCTGTGGTTCAAAATGTTCGAAAATTTTGTATAACATATTCGAATTTTGGCGGCATGTACCAAAGCATACGTGTAATTATTTACGTTTGGTTTAAAGCACAATTTTCGTCATTATAAACGCAAAAATGTATATCATACAATGGCAGTAAACAAAATTATTTTTTAAATTATCTTAAACCTATAACAAAAAGTTTATACATTTCTGCTTCAACCAAGCGTGTTATTACCAACATTTACGACGGTACTGAAACTTTTCAAGCAGTTAAGGCATGTCCTTTAAAATCTACTTTTTATTGGGTATGATAGTGTTCCTTATAAGTTTTTCCTTATTAGTCTTGATTTGATTCGCATTTTTAATGAGAGCACTTTTGTGTCATAATTTTGGTGACGTTTACAGTATTGCCGTTATTATCAAAACAATGTGAGGCAACTATAACGGACAATTGCAAGAATTTAAAATGCCCGAACCAAGAAGATTCAACCTGTGTTAAAGTGACATATAGAAAAGGATTAAAAAATATTGAATATAATGTAATAGTATATAATAAATGCGAAATTGGTTTTATTAAATGCCATCCAGGTAAGGCAAAAGAAATTACAAATCTACAGCGACGGTAGAGACAGGTATGTTACATGAGGTGTTTTTTGAAGTGAAAACTTCTCTAGCGGCGTTGTACACTTTTTTGGAATGGGTAAAAAATGTTAAACTTGCGTCAGGATACGTGACCTGATCGAAAATTTCGTGAGATGGATGGAGGGTAGACAGCTGGCGCAGCGTATTTAATGTAATATAAATTGTCATGTTTGTGTACGATAGCGCAATAAATAAATATTGTATACTACCACATAAATGATAGTACTTTTATACTGATAAAGCAATTCGTGCAAAATTATTCCCTAACCATTTCAAAATATCAAAAATGCACAACGTTTATATTCAAGTTTTCACTGGCACTCCCGGAGTGCAACACGTCGTTTTTTTTAAATGTAAATACGTGTAGCGTTAAAGCGAACATATTCCACGACTACAATCACTGCGATGACGTCATACCCTGAATCGTATTCCGAATAACAGAGTTATTCTATATACCTCTCTCAATTTCTCAGCCACCGAGGCGTTAAATGTTTTTTTTTAAATAAATACCTACTTTATATTTCTAGGCATGAAAGCATATATACTACCAATGCGCAATTGTCATTCAAGTATTAAACGATCGAAACGGGAGATTAAAAAAGGTAAGCATCAAATAATGTTAAAAACTCTTTATTAAAAGTAAAAAGCCCGTACATCGATTGCCATTTGCCATTCAAAGTTCATTCTCAGCTCCATCTGTAATTTGACGTCGTTCACGGCTCAGTCTCCAATTGACAATAATTCTGCTATAAAATAACAGCTAGTTCTTATTATAAGATATATTTAAATTGTTTTCTTTGTACATAATAAGAGTGCATAATAAAATCCAGTATTAATATAATGTCTGTGGTTATTAAGGACCTATCTGGTCGCCAAACTCCAAAAAAGTACATTGTTTCTTTCCATTTTTCGTCATCGTTTTTGAAGTAGGGCGAATGGATAAAATATATGGTAGAGTTGAGTAGTTTATGTATCCAAAAAAATCCAAACATAGCCAATTTTTGACACTTTGAATTCATTTTATGACGAAAATGTATACAGAACATGATTTTGAAACTTACACGATATATTTTATCGCAAGCCAAGTAATCCATTTCAGAAAAAAAATTGGATAAAACTAGGTACATTAATTTAATAATTTACATAACTAAATGTTATAACGGGCCGGCGCGCCTCAGAGCTCCATCTCCTCACTGCGCCCCGCAGTCCACCCCGAGACACTGACACAGCAATTCGTGCTGGGCCTTAAAGTATTTTGCGTACGATTCCACTCGTGTCGATGAAATGAAACATGATAATATAACTTTGGTTAATAATATAGTTGTTTAATGGAAATGAACGTTTTTCGAATAGAACTGTTTTAATTTTTTAGTCTGGTTGACTTCTTTACGTACCTGGAGTCTTACAAATACATACAAATTTAGTTTGGGAGTTTCTACATACACTACTGTTAACAACTTGACTAAAGCCCCTGTCCATTCAAGGTTTTTCAGGGTCACAGTGAGATCTTCATTATAGACAAATCAAAGTATTTTTTTTACAGCTCTTAGATCATTTCATAAAATTGGTAAAGGGAAGCAGTTTTATTTATATGGAGATAACTTAAGTGAACCTTCGTCTGACGACGTGAAAAATTATCGTACGTAACTTATGACTAAGTTTCTCGATTTAAAAAAAATGTTATCATGTTAAACAATGTATATAGCTTTTACAGCGACGAAAAAACTAATCAATAAGAAACTAAAAAACAAAGTAAGGAACGAAAAGCTAGAAAATGAGGTATATATGATATTTTATTTGTTTATTTCCTTAGTATTACAAAAAATACACTGATTACTTAATCACTTTAATTTGTCAAAACCACACAAGGTGTACATGTGCCATTGTCGTTTCAGTGTTGTTCGAAAAACCCTAACTTATTATAAACATTGGTGTCAAAATTCCTTACAAACTTTGGGTTTACACTTTAAACCCTCGCAACGTATTGCTGCCGTAATGATTGCTCATACCTGTTGGAGTGATAAGTCTATTTAATTTTAATTTTGTTGGAGTTTTTCAGCCCTTACTAATTTTTTCAACAATTGGGCCCTTCTGTTTGGATTGCAAATTTAATTTTATCCTCTTCATCCAATTTTTTCTTATGTACCTCGGCACAATATTGAAAAAAATTGTGCATGTTCTAGCATGGTTACTTAGTCATCGATTGCTGATTCCACTGTTGCCATGTAAAGGAAACCAAGCATTTCGTGTGTTATTATTATTAATTTAGATTTTTAAATAATAACTGCTTAGCCTTGCACATATGTGTTCCTAATGCGCCTCTCCTGTGAATTTGTCTTCAATTACGGGCCCAAAACAGATTCGTAACTAGCGCAAGAGTTGAACAGTCACAACCATATGAATTTCCATCCATGTGTAAAAATGCGTTGGAATGGGAAATGCAAATAATTGTGACATTTGGAGCCCTTTTGTTTATTTCCAGTTAATTTCTAAACTCATGTGGTCACTTTCTTGAAAAGTTGTTTATGTTTTACCTCGAGAATGACTCGTGATTTTATAAATAAACCATATTTCAGCAAGATGGTACTGAAAACGACAATAATGATGAAAATAATAACGACCAAGATGATAAAACGAATGATGATGATATACCGCGTATGGACAGTACAGAAGCGTTAGTTGTATTGAATTCTACGAGTGTGGAAAAACATGTTAAGACACCAAATGAAGATCACGATGATAAAGTGAAGTATACTCTCCGTTTCTTTTTCATTACAATAGACGTTTAGCATTCTTCTCTGCTATCTGCTAATCCCTATCCACTGCAGTACACAGTTGACAAGAAACAAATATCGATTTTACACGCCTGCTCACCATTTAATGGTCCACAGATTGTGTCGGGCTTACAATAAAACTATAAAGCAAAATGGCTTGGTGAACATTTTCAACAACTCAACAATTCTGTACAGCCTTTCGCCAAGTCGTTTTACCAAACTTGCAGTATTATTTATATTCCTACCTAATTGCGATTTATGTATATTCGCGGACACTTGGCGGACCCATACGACTTCCTCGATACAAATAGTCTCCTCGTGAGTTGTGCTGCGATATTGCGAGCTACTCGATTGTGAGGAAGTTGCATAGATCTCATTAGCGCGGCGCCTTCTGAAGTTCTCATGTCATTTTCACGCGTGTATATCCTTTTTCTAACATTTTCATAAGTGTTTGATTGTCCTCCTTTTGAGATGTGTGACGTTTGAGAGAATAAATAAAATAAAAAGATAAAAGATCAATCTTAACAAATTGTACGCATTTTACCGCTAATGCGAATCAATGAAAAAATATGGACTAGCTATTTTTCAATGAAGACAATTTGCATAATTTTCAAGTGTATATTAATAGCAATAATATGTTATTAAAGGATAAAGAAGATAAGGCTGATTCAATTAACGTTATTGATGAAGACCAAGCCGTTTCACTCGATGATACATTAAATCATAGCAATGGCAATGAAGCCAATGAAGATAAAGAAAGTAATGACGATAAGGGAAGTAATGAAAAAAACGACGATATAGTGGAAAATGAAGAAAAAAGAATCGATCCAAATTCCGGTGAAAAAAAGACAGTATTTAATGATGATGTTAAAGTTCCTAAAGATTATGATCATACGGAAGAAAATAACGGTATGCTTTACGTGTGATTTGTTCTTCACAATTTTGATTATATAACCTATTTGGCGGCTATCGTTAGAAATATATAACTAATAATTACGAGTGACTCCAGTAAATCGCAGACAGAAAATGCCTGGATTACGTTCAAATTTTATTGGATAAAACTGAAGAAAATTATGTCTGTTTCAGCCAATCTAGAAGAGGACAACAAAGATTGCCCATCTACATGTTCGTTGCGGGATATGATGGTTTGTGCACGATGCAATCATGGCGTATATCGTACTTTTATGAGTGTGTGCCATTTACGAGCATTTCTTTGCGCACACACAGATGAAAGTTAGTGTAATTGAGATATGATTTACATTGTCAACCTATATAAAAATGGATTGCTGCTGGTTTGTCGCGCTAAAATTCGAGAATGGCTGAACCGATTTGGCTTATTATGATC